AACCACTTTTTTTTTTTAGGAAATACAAAGTAAATTATTGATGAGTGTTTGAAGGTACTGAGTATTTAGATGTAATTTTTCGTCACGGGGAGAGGGGAGATGCCCAGTGGAGGGGATGACGTCTGAACACTCAGTGCATAGAATGATTTACTGTAATCTATCCTTTTCTGGAGAAACATTATTTCTCAATATGATTTCAGACTTGGAATATTTGGTTCGTTCTCACTTTAAATCCAATATATAAGAATTGAAAGTTTTAAGGTGGTTTCACAGTTATGCCACGTAGTCTGTACAAAGTATTTCGCGTGAAAAAATATTTATATCCCACGCACAGGTGTCAGTGTATTGGTCGTTTGAGATTTAGTCGCGATTAACGGCGAAAAATCAGAACGGAAGGGGAAGGGATCGGTGGCTCGCTTCGACCATAATACCTGGCCGAGAGTAGTCGATACGTAAATCATCGGCGGATATGGGATTCTGCGTTCTCTGTACCGATGGTTGTGTAATTCTAATAAATTGGTCGTACGTACCGCGTTGTAAATCAGGGAACCGCGTTTTCCTTCTTGCTACGGGAGTGATATTTCACACCAGCAAAAATTAATCTTTGAGAGCCACGGGGATGAAGTCCGCTCGTAAATTAAACGGAACCTCGCGACGATACGATCCCTCCCCGCCCACATAGATCGTCGTGATCATTCGAGTGCGCTGCTGGATACATTTTTAACCTCTTAACACTCCAATAACTAGAAACTCGAGGGGAGCATTTCAATCCTAGACCAGCTGCGTTCGATAAACGAGTTTACGTTAAAACGTGTTACACGCACTCTCTTTTATAATAGACTTCTATCGATCAGGGACGTCATATCTGTGGCTGTAAGGAAAAACGCCACGTGTCAGAATTTCGAAAAATTTGAGTTTATGCATTCATCGAGCTGTGGAATATAGGATTAATTGTATTTACTAGAACAAATGCATGAAAACAAATTTTTATATGTTCAGAAAAATAATGTAATTTAACCGAAGTCCAATATTCCATTCATCCCTATTACGCAAAACAACGTAAAAAGGAAAACTTTAAACGACAATATCTCTAAAGTGAAAATATTACATGCGACGTTTTTCCTGATAACCATATATATTTGTCTGTTGCCTACCAGCCACAGTTTATTAGGATCACGATGCCGTGCATTGGCGCCCAATAGAAAAACAGAAATTTCCCGATCGAATACAGAAAAGTAACGAATTTAATCGCAGAGAGATTAGAGAGGAAAGGGATCGCGTAGGAGGATCCCGAATGATGATACCTGTCACTAGGCCCAGTCTGCACATCCTTCCCCTTTTTACGTAATGAGACGCGCACGAAAGTGGGAGAGGCCTTTTGCTTAGAGATTCGTAGGAAAGATAGTCGTAACGAGGCGTAGAGGGTGGATCAATACGAGGGTTCTTACGTAGTTCGCTCGCTGTCTCTCTCTTTTCTCATTCTCTCCGTATATATCTCTCCTACTCCTCCTCTCCCAACACTCCATCCCGTCTTCCGTCTTCACATTATCTCTTTCTTACACCGGGAACTCCTTTTTTGTCTTGATCCGCCTTTGTTTTCTCTGTCTGTCTACTATTGTCTGTTTCTTTCTCTCTCTTACTCTCTCTTGCTCGTATCGAGGGCTTGAAAATTGCACGTGGAAAAGGCGGGAGGTAACGGTGCTCGTTGGGGGATCACACGTTTTTTCTTCTACATACCTGTGGCTCTTTTTCTATCCGAAAAAAAAAAAAAACCTCCATTTCATCCGGAGGAAACGTCGCGAACGTGTCAAACAATGTCCTCCGTTCTGGAAGACGTGTGCGCGTGAAACGGTCTCTGTACGTTGATCAAAAGAGCCAAAGGGTGATTTAATGTGACGATCATCGCGCGTCGAGTAATCTCGAGAACTCGACGGAGCTCGAGAAGAGTGGAAAAGGCTTACATGCGCAATAACCGATGATCAGGGTGCGTTTTGGCGGACGAATCGCGTGCGTACTTTCGTAAATGGGAGAACAACGCTGACGGGGGCACGACTACAACATCAACAACAACAACAACACACCAAAACATCCTACAACCGGGCATGCCCTGAGAGTACGAGAGTAGCCTACGAGTGCGCGAGTGTGTGTGTCTGTGTGGATACAAGTGTATACATGTATGACAGCAGTTGAGAGTGCGAAGGTGTATTGTGCATGGATACGAAAGAATTCTCTCTGTAAGCGTGTGTGACACATTCAGGAAGGATATACACAGTATGTTCCATAAGGGTGCTGATGGAGAGTGAGAGAAATGATGGATAAAAAAGTGGAGAGAAAGAGGTCAAGGCAGAGCTGGTGTGTATGGTGGCTGGAAAGAGGTAGGGTTTCAGTGCGAGGGTGTCTCCCTAGGTGTGTATATTGAAGGTAGAAAAGTTACGATTGATTGTCTTCTGTGTGTATGCCAAGGAGAAAGCACAGAGTATAGCCTGAATAGTAGTGCCTGGGATTGAGACGTAAGAAATGAGAGTAAGAGTGAGAGAGAAAGGGTGAAAACGAGAGTAAGAGAGGAAAACGCGACAGAATCAACTGACGGGCACGTCCTGGTTGTAGGATCGGTGATGCCGAAGAGGGAGGAAGCCGCGATGGCGGCGGTGGCCGCGGCCGCCAGCGAAACTACGCAAGCCGTGGAGAATTTCGCGAGACTCTACACGGCACTGCGCCACGACGATGCTAGGCCTCTCTGTCGTTACTGCGGCAGAAGCTATTCGTCGCCGAGCAACCTGCGGCAACACGTGAAAAATGTCCACTCGAATTGGCCGCCGCCGGAGACGTGGCCCCAGTGCAACGTGTGCGGTAAACGATGCAAGACCAAGCATTACCTGATCAATCACCAGCTACAGGCGCACGGGATACACCAACGGCCAAGCCTGAACAATCCGAATCAGCAGCAGCATCAGTCGCCCTCCTCGTCCTCCTCGTTGCCATGAGTACGGTCGTCCTACTCCTCGTCCACTCTCGCGTGCATGGTGAACGAGACCCCGAAAAAACGGTCCGCGATTAGATGAAGTTTGGGGCGGTTGCCCGACTCTTTTGAATACAGTCTGGTCCCTGAGGATGGCCGAGATAGCTTTCGACTTGTGTTGCTCTACATTCGAGGCGACTGTTTCAGGTTCCACGGAATGTTATGTTCAAAGATACGTTTGGTATCCTTTCAACTGGTTATTTATACAGGTAGAACAGCTGAATTCGACAAACAACGCTTTTCATCCGTGTATTAGGTTGATGCATAATTATCCGGCGTTTATATCGGCGCGTTTTTCATCAGTGAAAAGTAGCGTTTTGTTTATTATTTTTGTATAAAAATAATCTTCTCTATTGTTTTAGAATAATGCGTGTCGAAAACCATAGTCATATTCGCCATATTATGCTCTACCACTTCGAGAAAGGATGGAAAGCAGCGCAGTCATTTCGCGATCTCAACGAACTTTTTGGCAAATGAACAATCAGCGAAAGTCAGTGTAGGGAGTGTTGTCAGACTCTCGTCCTCTTCCACGGCTGCCAGAAGAGCCTGATCGTCGAAATCCGATGGCCGACCTCTTCCTGACTTATCCTCCAAGCTGGTATCACCCGATTTGAAACGGGCAAACCACTCCCTACACTGACTTTCGCTGATTGTTCCTTTGCCAAAAAGTTCGTTGAGATCGCGAAATGACTGTGCTGCTTTCCATCCTTTCTCAAAGTGGTAGAGCATAATATGGCGAATATGACTATGGTTTTCGACACGCATTTTTCTAAAACAATAGAGAAGATTATTTTTATACAGAAATAATAAACAAAACGCTACTTTTCACTTATGAACAACGCGCCGATATAAACGCCGGATAATTATGCATCAACCTTATAGTTCAGTGTTTCCTAATCTTTTTTTGGACGATGCCCTACCTCAAAGATCTCGATTGCTCCCCCCCCAAAGCATAATAGTAAACGAAATTCTGAGAAAGTTGAACATTAATAGCTACTTCAAATAAAAAAGGCACGTAAGTAAAACTGTTGCCGATGAGGCGACGAATGCCAGTGATTTACTGTTTGTCCCCCAAAATATTCAAACTGTCAACACCGATGTAGTTGTTCGATGTATCTGTAGACTTTCCGTGGGACTTAGCGCAGTCTGTCTCTTTTGCGGAGGATATTAGACTGCGAAAGTAGACCACGATCTGGGTTACGACCCGGTTCGTATTTATACGAAAGTCGATAAGACCTTTATCCGAGAGAGACCGGCTGTATCCACGAGATCAATCGAGAGAGATTCTTCCTGTTTTTCCGTAGCTTCGATTGCTGATGCAATATCTCCTCGATCGTCTCGACTTCCCTCAAAGGGTACATACCCCAAACTTCTAATTCCACGATCACGTTATCCGATCAAGAATATTCCGCGATACGAAACGTTCTCGATCTTCTAAAATCAGCTGCAATCGGTAAAATCGATCGTGTTCACCGTACAAAGGGTAATTTTCTAAAAATGTGTTTCAACGAACGCTAACACCTTCGCCACCCTACGGATCTAACCAGATGTTCAAATTTATCGGTGACGAAGCTTCTGTTCCCCCCCCCCCCCCAACCCCTTGAATAGATGCGAAATGCTTCCCGTAATAATCTGGCACGTGAGATTCAGCCCGAACACGTTCGAGTGCCTCCGCTTCTAGTATTCGATTTACGCGATGATTGCGCGGATTCCGTGCAGTCCTGTCTGCCAATTGCGCCCGATATCGAGCAGGGAGAGAGAGTGTGAGAGAGTGAGAGAGAGAGAGAGCAATTAGCGATCCGCCAGATACCAGTAACCGGCAACCATTTGCGGGATGTAACCCCCTCCCCGTTTTCTCCCTTGCCGCCTCGTTCAGATATTCCGCATGAGACCGTTGTTGGGGGGGGGGGATGACGCGCGCGCGGCAGCTTTGGGGGTATACTCTATTTTTATTAGGGTTTCGGGGGTGGGTTGGGTTTATATGGTGGTGGTGGCTGGTGGTAACGTTGGTGTGGTGGTGGTTGCAGATCACGGGCTCGATGAGGCAGAGGGCGCGGCTTACCACCACCACCACAGCCATCACCAACAGCATCATCATCGGCATCATCAACGTCATCATCATCATCCACCATCCGTTCCTCCTCCTCACCATCACCATCATCAGGCACGACAGGAAGACGAGCATCAAGACCAGTCGACAACGACCAGCACAGGTGGATCCACGGGTACCAATGCCCCTGGGACCAGCAGCAAGTACCAGAGAACGGCGGACTTTAGGCAACAGAAACTGATACGTGATCATCATCAACAGCACGGTTACAGGTGTCCGCTTTGTTGTAGGACCCTACAGGACATCAGCACGATGAGGGCTCACTTGGAGCATCATTATCCCCGCGACTCGCCCACCTGTCCCGTAGCATCGTGCGCGAAAACTTTCTCCCATCCGAACAGCGTGCGGAACCACATGCGTCTGAAGCATCCCGTACAGTGGGATCAGATCAAGACGCTCAGATGGACCTACGTCTGATAAAGTGGCATACAAAAGAACGGGATTATCCGGGCATATACGATCGCGGTGTCCATCCTATCCCCCTGTTCTGGCTGACCTTCGAGGCAATGTTCGGATATTCGTGTGTTCTACCCCCTACCCCCTCTCCATCCCCCCCCCTTGGTTTTCGTTTTGTGGTACTGTCGATGGTCACTTTTTCTTCTCTTTTCTCTCTTCCTCCCCTTTCTATGCCGCAGCCATATATTTTCTCGGACCGGTGTGTATCGATTGCACGTGGACTCGATATCGTTTCCCAGACACGGTGAGAAGGTGCGTTTTTCGACGAAAAATGGTCTCTCGCGTGCCAGAGTCTATAAAACGATTTCTTTTTTCTATAAATGTTACGCGACGAGGTATAGTAAATATATACATAGAGAGGGTGAAGGAACGATTTTTTGGGAGCTGGTTACGCTACCGAAGAATTGTTCTTAGTGCTTTATTCTTGAATACACCGCACAAGCACCGCACCCACCACTCATCCTTATAACCTACGACCCCCACCAAACCATTCCCACCTGAGAAGCGCACACTTTGTAAATATATTTCGGAAGATTATATTGATGAAAAAGAAAAGAAGGAATATATTATATATATATAAACATAAATATTATTATATATATTATATATAGAGAGAGAAAAGAGTTTATTTTGTATAAATGAGAAAAAAAGAATATGTACGAAGCAGTATTTCCAAGTAGAACCTGAGAGACAGAACCGTAGTCACACACCATAGGTCGTGTTAAATAAAAATAATGCCGATTTAATAAGACTACGATGTTGACGACGACATATAAACGGTTAGGTTACGTATCTTACAAGAGAAAACAATGTTCCTCTAAAGCTGAGTAAGCCAGCCTTACGTTAAAGATCGTAGTTTTAAGACCGTAGGATGGGAGTCGAGAGAGATCGAGACAGAGTGAGAAAGAGAGTGTGTGATTAGGTACGTGGCGGGACGTAAAGTCGACTTTTGTGACAGAGAAAAGAAAAGAAACACAGAAATTTCAAGTCAACGGTTTTATACGCGTACCGATCGTCGAGAGAAAGAGAGTAACTTTGCGATGCTTCCGTAATTGTTAATCGAGGAAACACAATATTATACAAATATTTACACACACACACATACACATATACACATACACGTATAAGTATGGGACACGCATAGAAGGAGACGCATCAATGGCAAAGACGTACACAGCGATACTTCGAAAATCGTTTGTTCATTCTGAATCGTATAAGAAAGTCACGCAAGGAAATTCTTCAATTATACATTAATAATAGTTTCCTGACAAAATGTTATTAAAGAATATGGAACGAGTGTTTTTCGAGGCATATCGCTGTGATCGATCGCGAGTGGATGTGGAACGATCGGTCGACTCGAACAGCGCCTAGCCTTATTTTTCTACAGTTTTGTGTTTCGCGTCAGTATTCCCCCTAGGTGAAAAAATTCCCCGGGCAGGTTAAGTTTTTTTTTGGACACACATGTACGATAGTTACTAGAGATGCGCTGCGAATGAATACGAGAAAATATATTATATATATATACATATATGTATATGTATATATATATATATATATATATATATACACGTGCGCGAGTTGTTGGTCGTGCGAGTGGTTCAGAAAACGGTACCGTACTAGTCTCGATTCACGATAACGATTCCTGGAGAAAAGAGGAAAAAAAAACAAAAAAGAACCGATCGTCTTCTATTTTCGGTATGCTAGGTGTTTCACTTTATAAAATCGTTTTTACGGTTAACAGCTCGTGCCACGGACAGTGTATAGAGTATCATACGCACTATTTTAGCAGATACTAGCGTTACGTAAGACGTATATATACGACACACGAAATGAAGTATATACTATTTAAGTAATGCTTTGTACAATAAAACGGTATTCAGAGAAGTTTCACGTGACTCGTCAGTTTTCGTTCCATGGATTCACCGTATATGGTTTTCTTTATTCCACGAAATAACAAAAACGTTTTTAATTTCTCCCTGGTTTATCGGAAAATGCTATTATACTTGGTAATTTCTTTCTCATACCATTGTGTAGAGCTTACAATGCATATATACAGTGACTCGGAGATCTGTTCACGGATGACTGTCACATATATTCGACAAAATTAAGTACCAAACTATGAATCTTGCTTCAGAATTACCGAAAATTCGTCTTGCAAGCATGGTAAAAGTAAAAATCACGATGAAAGTGCATAAAAATATGTACAATTAATTGCAATTTCGGAAGCATATAAACAAATGTCTGCGTCACTGTATATCCGTAAGAAAGAGTCCAGAGATTAATTTCAAAGCAGACTCGACAAGAAAATAGGTTTTTGTACCTCAAGAAACAATTTAAAAAAAACAATACATTCAACGTACATTATTATTCGAACGATTACTCTTTATTTAACTATTTAAATAATTTTTCTCCCAAGATATCTGGAAAACACGGTTGTTCATCAGTCTTTTGTTTATCTTCTTTTTCAGTCGCCCGGCGTGGTCTGGACATGACGCGGGTCCGCGCGACAGATCCACGTCCCTGCCCGAAGTGCGGCAAGATCTATCGATCCGCTCACACGTTGCGCACCCATCTGGAGGACAAGCACACGATCTGTCCGGGTTATCGTTGCGTCTTATGCGGCACCGTGGCGAAGTCGCGGAACTCGTTGCACTCGCACATGTCGCGACAGCATCGTGGCATAAGCACCAAGGATCTACCAGTCTTACCTATGCCGAGTCCGTTCGATCCCGAACTGGCCTCTCGTCTGCTAGCCAAGGCAGGTGTCAAGGTGAGTCCAGCTGAGCTACGAGCACGAGCGAGTCCGACTGGTCCGAGAAGAGGTGACATGAGGCTGGAGATCCCTCGAGGTGGAGCTCCATCCGAGGCAGGCAGCAGCATTTGCGGCGGCGACGATCCAGAAGACCTGACCTTGCCGTTGAGTCTCAGGTACGGTTCGCCGACTCCCAACAACAATACTGTGATCACCAAAGTCAGCGGCAGCAACAGCAGTAGCGGTGCGAAGAACTCGACAGCAACAGCGATAGCAGCCAAATCATTGGACACTATGCACGGTAGCCGTGAGCCTAACACAGCGCCTCTTCATCCACCTGGACATCTTCATCCGAGCCATCACAACACCAGCGCGACTGGATCAGCGATCCTGGACACCTACTTGCAGTTCATCGCGGAGAATTCCGGCCTTGCGACGATGGGTCTGAGCCCAGAGCAAGCTGCCGCTGTGGCGGCCGCTCATGCTGCTAAAATGGCCCACATGAGCGCGATGGATAAGTTAGGGGGTCGCGGGATCGAGGATTACCCTATGATCGGTAGAGACGAGGGGCGAGGACTGGGTGTTGTGCACGAGGATCGATCGGATCTCTTGCAAGATAGGCACGGTGGACTGATGGACGAAGGTGATTCTTCTGGCGGTGAAGAGGATGATTACAGCGATAACGAAGAGCCAGAGATTGTGAAAGCGGAATAAGGTGAACGAAGGACCTGTTTGTGACACGTGGCCCCCTCCCCTGATTAGGAAGTGCTTGGCGGCGCGTTTGGGGTCCAAGTTGGACGCCTTAGGACGCCTGCCTCGTCCACAGTTAAATCCATCCACTACCTCAGTAGAAACTCCTCTGTTTTACTTTCGTCGCGAGAGATACTATTTCCAAAGAAGAAGGAAGACGATGCACGAGGTTAACCGATCGCTTACCGAACGGCGGTTTGGTTGTTGGACGAAATCATCCCCCTCGTTACGTCGTATGGTCGAAACAGACGGAGTTTCGTTGCCTACGTGAACGTGTGTACGCATACGTACATACATATACACACACACACACATACACTTTTACCCCATTTAATATTCCATCTGTCTACCTCAGTGAACACACACACGATAAACGATAAGTGATAGAACAGACCAAGATGAATCTCATGGATGAAGAGGGAAAATTGTGAAGAGGACGACGATTACGAGAGAGAGAAAGGACGCAATTCGGTTGGCTGCGATGTCGACCAGGCGCGTCGCGACGGCGATGGACGTCGTTCACGGTATCTCACGAGAGAGTTTTCTCAATTTAGTCGCGCGCTCTCGCGCAGAAAAATGAGAGGGGTCGAAAAGATTGAGGGAATCGAGAAGCCAGGTGACGCCCAGGGCAACTGTTTTAATTCTTTTTATTTTCTAAAGGTTTAAAGAACGGTGCCCGTCGCGAGCACGCGACGCCCGAGAAGATATTATTATTATTACTATATTATATTATTATTATTATTATTATTATATATGAATGTTGAGGAAGAAAATATATTGTCTAGATTTATAGCGAACGTTAGTGTACCACGAAGACGTACGTACGTACACACACAGGTGAAAGAGAGGAAATTACATACACACACGCATTAACGAGTAGAGAGAAAATAACGTTTTACCGTTAGGGTTATCACCCCCATCCCCTTAATTTTTAGAAGAACAAAAGCGTGAATTTTGATGACATGTACACGTGTATCACAATTTTACATTCACGAGGGACACGTATACATATACACACGGGAATATAAAAAGGTTAAACCGACATAGATGTGGTGATCGCGTGTGTGTAATGTGGCGATCTGGACGATTAAGGGTTGCACTAGGAACATGATTAATCATCATCCTTTACATTACGATTGTTAATGGATCTTATTTTGTCGTAGGGAACGAGAGAATAGAAGGATGTAGTCGGAACATGAATTCGAGTATGGATGGTGTCGAATAACGAGGAGGAGATAGTTCCAGTAATTCGTAGGATAAATGTTAATTATTTTCTTCGAAATGACGGTAAAATATTCTGACGAGTAGTGTTCAGAGATACAGAATGGCAAGCCATGTTTCCACATAAACGATAGCGTTTGTTATTAGTAGTCGTTATTCAACCTGATGTTTAGCGTTACTCTCTTATCAGGCATTGAAGTCTCTGGAGTGCCAACCGTATAAATGTCATTTTCTCGATTTCGTTAAGCTGTGCAATTTTTGTTTTTACTTGGAGCAATTATCAAAGTATAAAGCTTATTGTTCTAACAATTATTACTTTTTTCTCATCTATTAGAAATTTTATTTAAAATTGCAAATTCAAGTTCTTCTAGACTCTCATATATTTATGAATTTTATTAAAGCTATCGAGCATGTAGAGATATGGTTTAATACACCGTCGAACGAGGTGAATTACTCGAAGTGTTTCCTATTCGTTGCTCTGCTCGGCCGAGAAAATCGTCATAGGCAAAGTGTCGCGCAGAACGCGAGTAAATCCACTTACGGGAGTGTAGGTCCCCTTATTGTTCCTTTCGTCATCTTATGTTTCCTCCCATTTAGTTCATCTCTGTTCGAGAATCATCTGAATCGATCGGACCAGAAATATATCCCAGGGCTTGCCATGACTTTTTCTAGTACTTAAGTTTTTGACATCGATCACCTCGAGACGCACGGAACTTTACGTTAGACGATTAGTTGGCTCGTGTATCTTCACATTCTGACGATTCGAAAATGCAGATCGGTTATACGGGAATCGGTAAAATCGCAAATGAGAACGATAGAAGCTCGATAGGGGCCAGTTTTTCTTCGTTTTCTTTGCTCCACACGGGAGCCATCGATCGAACTCCTTTCACGGTATTCATGTTAATTCATCAGGATCTATGATCTCTCCATTCACGTTATTTATAAATCAAGCGTTCGTTATAATTCGTTTTTTTTTTTTTTTTTTTCTTTCTTTTGCACAAATCGAAGGAAACGTGGTTGGTCTTGCCATGTTGGATGCGTTCATCCGTGCGACGACGATGATCGTGAACAGACGCGGGGGATCGATAGAGCTCGTAGATCGCAACCGTATACGCGATTTTCACGATCCCTGGCCCCGAGGATAAATCTTCGAAATGGTTCCTACTAATGATACATACACGAGCTACTTTGATTTTACGGAATACCTTCGTAGCCTATACATACGTATACATATTATATACATATATATACACATATAGAAACACGTTAGATACGCCTAGAGAAGAAGGGAAGAAACAAAGTGTTTTTAGCAATACACCGTAGTGGCGCAGCGCGGTTCGAACGAAGGGATTCATCAATTTCGTTTTTCGTTGCCTTTTTATTTTTTTTTGTTTTTAAGTTTTGTTCTTGTGTGCGTGGAAATTGGCGTGTATGCGTGTGTGTGTGACGAGTATACAGCGAGAGCAGGTGAGAGAGTGAGGATAATTGTGGTTGACGACTTAAAAAAAAGCTACGAGTTTCAGGTTTTAGACTATTACCTAGATATGTAGATTGTACACAATACTCGGAGTATACTACCCCCCCCCACCACTTCCTCCCCCCCCCTCGTAGGCTGTAAGACCATTTTATCGAGATAAACACAGGGAGTAGTCTCAGTGACTTTGCCAGCCACTGAAAACAGCACGCCCACGATGTTTCACGTCCCAAAAAAGGGGAAGAATTCATCGCGTGCAACGACGATACGTCCAAAAAAAACGGCAGATACGAAGCGTAGAATTTGAGGAATACAAAAAAAATAAAACAGAGACCGTGGATCTTGCGCGAGACGCGACGACAATTTTTAGCGAATCTCGAGAACACTCGCATACCCCTTGTCCAGCGAGCTTTTATCGGTGACTGTTTAGGGACACTACGTTTTTAGCATCGACAGACGGTCAACCCCCCCCCCCAAGACAATAATAAGTATCGATACAGTAGGTCGGATACAGGAGGGTTTCTCAAAGGCGTTAAAAAATTATCAGGAAGGACGAGGGGTGAGAGCTCGTGGTTTTTTAAAAACTTTATATTTGTACATATACGAAGGTAATAATTGTATACGATCGGAACACTTGTATACGAGACACACGGTAGAGGGAAGAGTTGAAATTTGTCCATGATCTCAAATCGTGGTCTTTTAGCGTGGCAATTTTTTAGAATGCTTGTTGATCAACGGAATCATCGATCGCGCGCGACTCGCGTAATCCACGGGACGGTTGCGAGTTTTGCGTAAAGAGTATATACTGGGAAGGTATATATATATAT